CCCGGCGCCCTCCACCTCCGCCAGCCGCCCCTCGGCGCTTGCCGCCTTCCGCGTGAGGATTGCGCCTGCCCCTTCAAAGCAGCCCGGCCAAAGCGGGGCTGCACCCGAGGCCTCCGACGGCCTGGCACCCACAGAACGGCACGGCAGCGGGGCCGGGCTCGCCCTCTTCGGTGTAGGGCTCGTTAATAAAGCCCTGTTTCAAAGCCTGATGGAGGAGAACGGCTGCCGCTTGCTTTACGTTGTGGAGGATCAGCTGGAGGAGGTGGAGCGCACCTTTGGCGCCGAGTTCCTGGCTGGCACCAGGGTGCTGCGGCAGCAGGACGCCGATGTCGCGCTCAACGATCAGCGGTACTGTCCGCCGCTAACTCCCGTGCGCGCTTCTTCCCTGCCGTGAGGCTTGGGGCGAGCATCTCCGCACCAGGCTTGCTCCCCCTCTCTGGAAAACGCTGCTGCGCCGTAGCGGACCCAGACCGTGCTGGTCTGGCCCCACGTGTGGGCGCAGAGCGAGACCGAGGGGCCGTTACAGGCCAAGCCTTCCGCAGTATGTCATCTACCCGAAGATGCTTTGGGAGTCCCTGAGGAGCCTAGCTTGACAGGCGTGCCCAGAGCCGGTGGAAACTCGGAGGAGTTTAGCTGTAGGCAGTTTTGTTAAGAAACACAAAACCCCCTTCTTTTCCTCCATTCCTGTAGAGCAATGGATGACAGGCTTTCCTGCTGCCCCCGGGTTTTCTGCCTGGGAGCAGCTGGCTGACTTTGGTGGCTCTTTTGAAGCTCTTTGAGACAAGCGGGGCTTGCTGTAAATAGGAGAGGTGGTGGCGTTTTGCTTTACGGTTGACCTGAACAAGTACCATCGAGTGATGTGCTTACAGGCAGTTCTCAGATTGGTACTTTAAATATCACTGCAGAAGTGAAAGTCAGAGCTTTTGAGAAAGGTGGATTTGGTATTAGAAACTCAAGAATGGTAACAAGCTAAGGTGAACCCATCACTTGTTCAGCGGCTCTACCGCGTACTTTCACTTTTACCGTGTGTGTTAACTAGCAGGATTTAACTTGTTCTCAACGGGCTCCTTTAAGACTTTAAGATGCAGGAAGAGCAATGCAACTCTGCGGTGCCGCTTGTAGTTTTAACCTATATGTGTTGTCCCGTGTTTCATCCTTGCAAGCAGGTAACGAGTTCCTTTTCTAACCTAACTTGCTCTTCAGAGCAATGGGGTTTTATGTCTTTTTTTAACTCTTCTGAAGTTTCAGGCAGCCGTTATAAAACCAACAGTAATTGAAAGGAGCTTTTGAGTGTCTTGTCTTCACTGAAGATCTTTCTTTTGACTTCTGCAGGGTCTCTGGAGCCATTATTTGTTCACCACCTGAAGAAGCCTCTGAGATGGTAATAGACGCTTTACGAGCGGGTAAGGGGATCAGCTGCAGATTCAGCTTTGATCCGTCGTGGGTCGCACGCGTTGGGGCGGGCCTTGCGTGCTTGCTCAGCGCTTTAAAGGCGAGTGCCGTTTCATTTCAGCAGCGTCCCTTGCACTGTGCAGACCATCTAACTGCATAATTAAAGAGAAATCAGTCCACTGGTGTTAATGGCTTAACACCAGTGGAGTTGGCACCGTGCCGGTCCCAGCACGGCCGCGCGGAGCGGCTGGGCTAGAACTCCCTGTCTGTCCAAAGAGGCTGCGCGGGGTCCCTGACCAGCTGGTAAAAGCACAGGGGGAGGCCTGAAGGGAGTAGCATGGACAGACAAAAAGCCGTGCTTCGGCTTCATCCAACGTGCTTTCTAGAAGGCAGTGGCCTGTGTGCGTTCCTGCAAGGTAGAGACGTTCCGCGCAGCCTGCGCCTCGCCCTCAGCCCCGCCTTCTGTACCGTTCTGCGCAGGGAAAGGCGTGTTTTGCGAGAGGCTGCCCAGTTTCGACAGGCAGACGGCAGAAGCCTGTTTCGATGAAGCTGACAGATGCGGAAGACCGCTGGTGTGTGGATTCTACAAGTAAGGCCGGCGTTTTTCTTCTGATCTGTGCTTGAGAAGAAGCGCGCGTCTTGAAAGTCGTGTTGATTCCTCGGGCTTTCCTGAACCTGTCCTCAAATAAACTTAGTTTCGCTGCTGCTTGTTAACGTTGTTCCTCTGGGAGTTAATTGGATTGGATTAATTCTTCATGCTCGATGGAGGTAACGTCCAGCTGTCATAAGATTAAAATAAATGTTTGCTCGAGTGGATGCTCGTGGAACTCAAAGGGTGAAGCTTTCAAGGTGTGAAAGCTCCATTTTTTCCAGAATGGCCAGAGGCAGTCGGGGTCCACGTCTCTGCAGTCCTTTCGAGGTTCTGCAAGCGCTGCAGCACGTTGGAGCTTCAGAGAGGGAAATGCTCTGACGGTGCTGTGCCGCTCTCTGAGGCACTTTCTCGGTCTGTGGTTTTAGGGTGTTCCTTGCTCGTGGTTTTTTGCCCGTGTACAACCACCAGGTCAGGCGATTGTTACTGAGCGTGCAGCGACCGACAGCGGCTTTTCACTGCTTTCTTGTAAAGCATTGGGTTTGCAGCCCTGTTCTG